TGCTGACAAGTTGAAGTCCATGCAATTATGTTATATGTGAAATATGGATTTTTATATAAGGAATAATGACCACTGTGTAGCATGTGGCTAATGTTTTAATGTGGTTTTTTTTTTTATCTTGGTGCAAAACACTATTTCCTTCCCAACACATCTTGAACAAATTATAAATAATAAAATATCAATGCGCCAAAGGTGTGAGGAGATCTGTATAAATCTTCTTTTTTATTTGTTCACTATGTTCTTAGGTCAGCTCTTGCTAACATTTGCCAAGCATACTTCTGAGATGACTTTAGGGAGAAGGAATTGGATTCTTGAATAATTTATTTCATCTTTAAAGGAAAAAAGAATTACTACATCCTTCCTATTTCTGATTGGGATGTTGCCCTTGTACTACTACTCATTTTCCCATGCTAATGTATTTTTTCTGGTTTATGGGTTTTTTCTTTTTAGTTTGTTATATACGTTCTGCACAAGAGAAATGGATTTCTATAACATAATATCAGCTAATAGTTCAAAATATTTTAAATGTGAATTCAAACAAACAATTGAAGAAGAGCTATTTCATTGTATTATTTTGTGTTCAACAGAAAACTTTTTAAAGCACTGGTAAGTGGATTACTTTTTTCCACCACACCTCCCAGGATGTATGGAAATGATTGTGTCAACACCAGTAGTATTTTAGGTAAGGACACATTAATATTAAAATGATACTGTAAAAATATTGTTTGAAAAGAGTTTATTTTTTCTGAGCAGAGCTGCTACTGTTCATGTTCACTTGTTATCTCAGTGTTTTAAAATTAAATAATTTAATGTCCAATTAATCACTTTTAGAACTTTAACTTCTTCCAGTACACAAAGCCAATTCTCAATTCAATTCCAACTCAATTTCAAATTCAAACGTCTAATGTCAAATTGTCAGTACTTTAGTACCTAGTAGCAATATGTCTTATTCTGCACAATGACTTATGTTTAGAAATTTTTGTACAACAATGGCTACCTGCTGAATAGTAAGTCTTACACTAACAAGCAGTATTGAGGGGAAAAAAAAGCTGTTGAAGAAAACTTATTTTATGTTAGCTCACTGACTTAAGCTGCCAATGAGAGAGAGACGTAGATTCTTTGTGAAGATTAAAAATCTTCAGTAATTTGGAAAAAAAGTCCTGGCAACTTTTAGGCAATCCCCTAAAAGTATCAACGCATTTATACAACTAGTCAAAAGCAAATGGAAAGAGCACACAATCAGATGAAGAGCATAAAAAAAAAAAAATTGAGAAGTGTCGTGTTAGAAATTATCATAACCTTTCCTGTAAAAGTTACAAAGTTTGGAGGACAGTTGTTTCTACCATGTTTTCTCCTGCATTTAATAAGAGGGGGAAAGGAGGGAAAGTAATGTGTCCTATTTCCTTTTCCAAAGAACAACAAGTGAACAAATATAAAAATACACAAAAGATTTCTATGGACATCTTCAGGCAAAGACACCACTTACAGCTGAAAAAAGTCCATCTTAACTGAAAAATATGGTGTCCATTTACACAGGTGAACATACAGTTCAACAACATCTAGAACAAGAGAATAATTGGAAAACCTCTACATAAGACTTTCAAGACAACCCCTCAAATTATGTCTAATGATTTTAATGGAGTGAAATGCTTATGCCTTAAAAGTTCATGTACAATTTCATTAATAGTTATTTTAGTGTTAATTTCAGCAAGAACAGATCTGGCCTCTTACAACACTGGACTTCAGGAAAGGTGGAACAGAAGGAGATTAATTGAGAACTCTAATGAAGCTTACTAACGTCAGGAATTAAAATTCACAACAATGATAACCCACATATGACAAGACAGAGTCTCTACAATCAATATTTAGTTAGAAAGTATATTATACAGTTTACTGGATCTCTATTTGGGTATATTTCCCTACCTATTCTGTAAGAAAAAAAAGTCCCTCTAAAAGGAAAAAAGTATATAAAAAAATATGCCTATGATATAAAATAAATACCAGCTAGGAGCACGGCTTCATGTTTGTCTTGCACATATACAATACCGATCTCCAAGTGAAAACCCCATTGCTCATGAGTCTTGAATTCTTATTTTACAAGTGGTTTAGAGAAGTTCGTACTTCTTTCCTTCTTCAGTCAGACTTATACTTCCACAAATCCAATCTTAACATGTCATAAATGCCATTTTTTAGGGGTTTGGGGTTTTTTTAATATAATAAAAAAATTACGAATTTCAGGCAGATAATAACAGTCTAAATTATAAATGAAAATACAGGCATATATATACATATACATACACGAAACATTTCCTATATCCAATTAAGAATGGTATATAATTTATAAAAAGTGGGTCTGAGGCTCGGTTTTACATTTGGCTTTGATATTTGCAGAAGTGTGCATCCACTGTGTTTATGGATGACATAGCTTTTGCAGAAAACATTTAAAAGTATTTCCAACAGAGAACTAATTAATTATATACTTACGGCATGGGGTGTTTGGTCTGTTCACAAGTTGTGGGAATGCAAAGATAGATGACAACTCTAGTTCATGGTTTTGATTTTGTTCGTTTTCTTCAGTCTGGTCAGCCCAAACTACTGATTTTTGTCTTTGAATCAGCTGCTCAACCTCCCCAAATTCAGTCTCAGTTAAATTATTTGTCAAGCCAGCTTCTTTCAAAGTCAGGTATTGCTTGCGAAGAACTGGAAGCAAAGTATTTAGTACTCTGTAAAACAACAAGAGGCAAGACTAGATGACTAAGTCATAACTAATCTGATCCTTACTAGCACTGCCACTATTAGGAATACGAGGGATTTTTTGCCTTCCCTCCCCCGCCCCCCGCCAAGTTCTGCTGTGTAATTTACTTTAATATATTTTTGGGGAATACCATAACACCGAGAGGAAATTTTCATGACTAAGTAGAGTAATTTTTCTTTTTTGCAAAATCTTGTATTTCATTCTAGGCATTTACTAACTAAGTATAGTTTTAACTCAGTGTCCAAGATCTTCAGTCCCCCAAACACCTCAGAAATACAGTCAGTATATCTTAATTTTAGAAAGTCAGAACTCAATCAAGTATCAGATAAAAGAAAAGAGTATAAACCAAACAATGTGGTTTAAGCCAAGCACATCTTAATTAGATGTGTATAAAACTTTATCAGAAGCCTAGTCCAAATAAATTTAGATACTGGGATCTTTAATTAAAGAATGGAATACATTAAGATCCACACACAACTGCAAATCAAATTAAAGTGACAAAAGTTTAGGAATTCTATCTGAACACAGGAATTCATTAACTATGGCAAGAATAAACAGTAGGTTCAAGCAATAGGGAAAGGGATATGTGTATAAAAACCCAAAGAAGCAACTTTGTAATTACTAACAACATAGCTTTAAAAATTTTGTTTTCAGTTTTGCAGGTTTATGTATTAGTTTTTGTAATGTTTATGGTAACAGCTTCTTCTCCAAAGGAGGAAGAAAAGCTGGTTATTTCATTTGGATTTAATTATAAATTTAACATACTTATTTACTGAACAGATTTGCGATTACTTCTTATTCCTAATGTCACACTCTGAAAGCTAGTCTTCAACATTTTCGAGAGACTGATAATAGAAAAAGAGCTGATGCTTACCTGCAAATTCAGCTTTTTTCAGTCTGACTAGCTATATAAGAGTTTAATGGTAACAATTTTTAATACAGGTAAATTAATTAATGTCTACAGTGCAAGGAATTAAAAGAGAACACAAACACTTATAAAAAACCAATACAGAACACAGAAGAGGAAAATAAGACACCATGATCTATTGAACAATTTGTAAAAACTATGCAAAGAAGAAAATTAAATAGAAATAAGAAGCACTAGAGTATCCCTGCAGTTTCTGTTAAACAATGGTGGGTACAGACCAATATTTATTATTTTACATATCTTTTTGCTTAAGAAAACACGACTAACACAGGGAGAGACCAATATTTATTATTTTACATATCTTTTTGCTTAAGAAAACACGACTAATGCAGGGAAAAAAAGCTTGAAAAAATCTTGCTTTTGTTTCAACTAAAACTAAATTCTATAGATATGTCGATATGTCTTCTGAAGTTACAAATGTCAGATTAGAAGTGTTATCAGGCCTGCTATGAAACCATACTTACTTTTCTGTCTGCTTATAATGCTGATCTTGAAGGGACACCAGAGATAACATGTGCTCAATCTGGGCTTTCAGGTCCTTAACTTCTAGGTTTAAATGGCAACACTGCAGATCTTTACAGAGTTCCTTGGGAAATTAGCAAGAAAAAAACCCAAACAACTGGACGTCAAACTGAAAGTGAGAAACTAAAATTTAAACTGAAAATAATATTAATTCATCCTATATTGAAAAGTAAAGATGGAGTCGATCTATATTATTATAATAAAGTTTTATGGTAGAAAAGTATGAATTGTTCGATTCTTATTCACATGCATAAATATTGCTTTGTAGATTTCCTTTGACCAACAGTGAGTGTGCTGTAATTAGCATTAAGAATCCAACAGGCACACATGTATGCTTATCTGTGCATGCCCAAAAATATGCTTGCCTCTTTTCCTGTGCACTTGCTCCATATCTAAGTTTCAGTGACATTGTCTAGTGACAAGTCTTCACTGTATTCAGTCATCTTCCTGAGATGCCAATATCTTGTTTGAAACATCTAAAGTTAATTTCTTTTAAGGTATCAACAAATTGTAGTCATCCCAATAAAAATACAGTATTGAAATATATTCCATTACACGTGTCACGTAAGTGCTCATTACACTATCATTTAAGCCACTCCAACTGCTGGCTGAAACTAAAAGGCAGGGAGGAACAACCCCCCACCTTTCTTTTCCTCCTCTTCTTCCTGCACAGACTTTCCTCCCTTCCCTTCTGCCAGCTCTGGTGCTTGTCTGAGGCTGCACTGAGTTGACTCTACTTGCTAAAACTTGGCAGAGAACACAGCTTCCCACTTCTTTCCCCCTTCCCACTCCTCCCCTAGCACCCTCCGAAAAGGTGGGGTTTTTTGGCCAGGCTAAGAATTAGGTTGTCACATGGTTAGACGAGCACCAGGAGCTACTGTACAGGCAAGAATAGAAGTGTATGGCCAGGAGCAAGATCAACTCTCTGGCAGCCATCTGAACTGCTCAGCCGTATCATACTTATTCCCCTTTAGCATGCATTTTTGTATGTAATTGTATACCTTCATGAACAAGGAATACTCGCACAAACAATGAAGTACTTTTGGGGCAGAAGAACGGAAACAGCTAACACTAGAATTTGAAACCACCCTGAAAGAATTAAAGCAGAAGCCATGAGTAGAAGCAAGACGAAGGGGGTGGGGGTGGGGAAATATATTCTTCACTATAGTCTGATGTTGCCTACAATGCATGAAATCTGCCCTTGAAGTGAAAGGCATTTTACCTTCGGAATACACCCATCTTGACCCAGGAGGCGCATTTCACTTTCAACACGATGCAGCCAATTGGTATTTTCCTCAAAATGTTCGACCTCCTCTTCTTTCTTCTTCTGCATGTGTATGCGGTGAGTTCTAAGCATTGCAAGCCTTTGATCCCGCTTGCAAGTGGCCTAAAAATTAGCATTTAAGGGGAAAACTTTCAAATGATGTTCACAAACATCTCTATATAAAAATTTTTTTTTTCTATGCTTTTATACTCAACTGAGCATAACAAACATTTTTCATTTTTGACCAGTTTAATAAAAGTTAAGTAGCACATTCTCCTTACAGGCATTACTGAATTATATTTCAACATTTTCAAATTTTTTTCCCTGGAAGCCCTTGCAATAGAGAATATAATCATTTGATTAATTATTCCATTAAAGAATAATACGTTGGACTTGATCAATTTCTGTTCTAGGCCTTAATTACCTTCAGTTGGAAAGACTGGAAAAACTACATGTGCATATACAGACAAACACACTTCTAGATACAACATAACCTAGTAATTTCTAGTAACTCATGCGTGAATATGAAGAAGGAATTCTATCTGCTTTGTTTTCCTAATGCAGTATGTCCTAGAAAAAGCCCACTAAAGGATAAAGTATTTGGCAAAAGGAAAACCCTCTATCTTCAAGCATCAAAATTCTTCTGATGCTTCTCTGAAATCTGACAACAAAAAGGCACAAAACCAGCAATAGCAAGCTGGATATGAATGAGGTAGCACCCTAAGAAGGCAAAGGAGATTCTTTCTATTCAGAGGATGACCATAGTTTGCAGTATACTTTAAAAATTAGGTCACTAACTCAACGAGTCATAGAGAACATTAACTTTAGATAGAGTTCACAGAGTTCAGCTATGACTAAACTTTACTTAGTTAAAAAAAACCCAAACAAACCAAAAAACCACAAAACATTTCAAGTATATTGCTACATTCAACAAAATCAAACATACAGAACCCAGTTAATTTTAAAAAATTATATAAACCTAAATCTCTACAACCATATGTTCCAAAATTAACACTCTAAATGAAAACTTCATCAATTAGAATAAATCTACATATTTAGAATAGCAGGCCAAATTAGTTCTATTATAAAACGTCATAAGAAGCTCTGCATGTATCTCCCTAATGTTGCACAAAGGTGCCCTTCTGAACATACTGTAGGAAACAGGAACAGTACGTGGAGAGATGCAGATTGCATTTCTTAAACTGACTTTTCAAAATGCTTACTTCAATACATGGTGTGCAGAACACAGAACCAGCATGGTAGACAACTGAACTACATGTGTACTCCAGGCAACTTACCAGGTCAAAGACTAGATTCTGGCCCGAATTTCACTTTACTTTCTCTTTAGACTGTCTTATCTGCTAAGATGATAGAGGATCCAGAGAATACAAAGTCACTTTTTAAAGGACCAGCTCCTTAGGGAAAGTACCAGGAGGAAGAGTTAGCTGTCAGACTAAAGCTCGCAATGACCACTGGTTCCTTCAGAGAGGAAGGAGGGAGTTCCTTCTGAGACTAGGGGAGAGCTTTCAGGACTGCTGAAGCAGAGAAACTCAAATGCCTTGTTTTGCATACTTCAGCTTTTACACAGTGCAGGAGAGGTATTAGGATTGAAGGTGGTATCGACAATATCCCACCATTTGATGAACCCATCTCACAGGTTCCCAGGAAGAAAGGACATGTTACATTGATGTGCTACAACAGAAAAAATATGGTTATGCGTGCTAGCTGTACACAACCTCCAGAGGTACTTGGTTGCTATTCTGTTTTGTAATTGAAAAAAAATCACAAGAGATATAGAAGAAATCGTCCCTCCCAGGCTGAAGAACTGGGACATATACAACAGCATTTTTGGATCCAGCATGGGCAATTGCAGTAAGCAGAAAAACTTGGAAACCAAGATAGACTGACTGCTTTCCAGAAATACGCTCCTTTTCCAAACAGTAAAAATAATGTTAAAGTGGCAATCAGAAATGGAGAAGTGATTTTAAAACAAATATACTTTTTTTAAAGCCTATCAAAGTACCAGCAGTTTTTTGCCATGTCTTTAAAAATAAAAAAATTGTAAAACCGATTCCATGACTGACGTAGACACCTTCAAGATAAAATAGGTCAAAACTGAGTAGACTTCTTCAAGCTCAGCAAGATAGTTAGAAGTAATTATAACACAGGGGTACATACTAACTTTTTATGTTTCCATACAAAGAGGAATGCTCTATACATGTTCTCCTATTGGCATAAATGTTTTCTGGCTAACACTGCTGCAGCTGATACCTAGCATGCAATAGGAAAACAACACAGATGCAGAAATACAGGTAACGAGAGTGGAGGACGGGCATTAGACAAGACGATGTAAACAGCATCCAAGTTCTAAAACAAGCTGGAAAACAGGGGCAGTTATGTGGAAAATGGAAATGATTTATTACTGGTCCAGGATGGACTGAATTTCACAAGATAAATTGTGACAAAATTTTTGCAACAAGAAAGCATTTGTAAGAACAGAGATTAAGGTAACCTAAACTCATACGTAAGTTTTTTCCTTCTTTCTGAAATTATTGTTTTGAATTAAAGTGTTCAAACTGGGGTTGTTCCAGTATAGATAAGATATCATTTGCTTCGTGTTAACTTACCTAAAATCATTATTAGAGCACGGACAATTAAGTGTAAGATGAGAAAATACTTCATAAGTAAAATTTTTCCCTTAAAAATTAATATTTCAGAAATACCCCTGTGGGCTAACAGTGTATTTTACAGAAAGAAAACCCAGAGGCATTTAGGAAAACAGCAAACATGTAAAAATACAAGGAAGAACAGAACCATTATAGTGCACAAGGGAAATGTGAGCAGTCATTTTGGTAATCAAATGACTGGATTCCAAATTAAAATCCAATTTGTTCCAAAGTAGTCACAAAAGGACATTTAATTTTACCATTACAGTGACTTACTCTTGTTAATAAATAAGATATTGTACTTATAGGACAGTGACTCTTGACCCTTAGTAAATCACATGTGTAAGTTAATTAATGGCAAAACCAACATTTGAGTGCAGCACTGTTAACACTCAAAAGTTAAATCAGCTCATAAAAAACATTCGTATGAAATAGAGCGTATGAAGGTATAACTTCTCATTATGAATAGAGATATAGCTACGTTCCATTGTAAGCAGCATTTAAAAGTATGGTACAGATAGAAAATACTACTTCGGAGTTTCTACAGAATAAAAGAGAATTCTAGAACACATTAGTCACTTGAAATATCTTCATTAATGACAAGCAAAAACGTGTGATATATTTTCACTTTGACATTTATTTAAGGACCAAATTTCATGTGAATCACTGGGAAAAAAATAGTCATATGGTAAACTATCATTTTCGGCCAAATACAGATTGTTACTGTGACTAAGCAAAATCAGCCCTACCCCCAACTTCGTATCTACAAAAAACATTTTAAGCTGACTTTTATCAGAAAAATTAAGATACTTTCTAACCATGCTTACTTATTTATACTTCGATTCTTCCAGAAAGACACGAGCATTTAATGCTGCACAACGGCAATTGTTCATACTTAGCCCCCAAATTCTTCTCTTAAAATTTAAGGCAACTAAATATAATTATTTCAGTTCACATGACACTGTCCTTAAGCAGCTATCCAAATATTTTCCTGGTGACAACTGAAAACGTCAATGATAAGAATCCACCTTGTTTAGCACAAGGTCCATGCTTTTCCTTATGAAACACAAATGGATTTCTCAGCTTGATAATAGCTTTAATGGCTGTACTATACATACATTAACATGCTTTGGTTTTGGACAAGAGCACCACGAGTCTCTTAAGTCTAGTCAGATCTTAAGTAACTATGACAATCAAGCCTACGTAAGGACAAGTTGAAAAGTTTTCGTAACTGGCAGCAATAAGCACATCAACAGTTTTTTGTGCAATGTGGAAAAAAATAGCACACCTGGCATTACTACTACATTTTCCGTATTAATGTCAGAAAATGTTATGTGAGTGATAATCTGTGTGTCCCATTTTAATTAAATATTTAAACATTAACTAATTATATAATTACTTAAGCAAAATTTGTACATTAGTATAGCAAAATGAAGAGAGATGATACCTGGTATTACATTATAGAAAACTCACCTTTTCTACTCTTTCTTCAGAGCACATCAGTTGAATTTGTTCATGACATTGTTTCTGGTAATACGTCTTCAGTGCGTTTTCTTTCAGTCGCATTTCCAACTTGAGGTATTCTTTTCTGATTTCCTCACGGTTTGCAAACACATTTTTAAGGATTTCTTTGTATCTATTAGAACCAAAGGATACAAATAAATAATGGATTACTTACTGAATACTTTTTTTATGACCATCTCCTTTACAAGGGGAACTTTCAATTCCTAGTTAATAGAATAAATATAAAAAAAATTAAGAGGAAAGAAGTAAAGCCTGTTATAGATGAGCACTAAATAAAGTGTCAGGACATCAGTAAAGATTTTATGTACTCAAACTGGAAATGGGATGTGAAATTTTGAAGGGGTCACTAAAAATAAACCAAGTATTTATGAAGAAGACACTGGGATTCAGAAGAAAGACATCTGGAACTTCTTCACATAAGTCTTATCTCTACCTCCAAAAGACACTAAATGCTTATGTTCTCTACTTCTTATACCAATTTATTAAACAGATCAGTCTACTGTTGCCATAGACACACAAGGTCTCCTTCAAAAAACCTGCTAGCTATCTCTCAAAAAAGGAAAACCACAAAAGAGTCTTCAGTTGCTTACTTTCTCTGAAGTTCTGTTGTACAATTTTAATCACTAACAGACTACAAAAATCAGAACACGCATCATGTTTTAACACACACTAGGCTAACAGGGGGGAAAAAGCAAACTAGTGATAGAAGGTACTTAAGAGTTATTCCAAGGAGACCAATGTTTAAATGGCCTCAAAATCTGCTTATCCCTAGTCTGCAATGCAAATCAGAATAACAAGGATAAGGAGAAAGCCTGGAAGCATTACCATGTTACAATATAAATTTCAGTGGTGATACTTTTTCACTTTGCTCCTGAATACTGAAAATGCAGTACAGAATAGCCCAAAAGATACTGTGTATCTTGATAATGACCAAGCTTGTATACAAGCCATTTCATAACATCCTATTGACTTGTTAGAACTTTACATAAGAATAAAGGCACAGTCTAACATGCAAATGTTCTAAAGACATGCAACATTTGAGGTTGTTACACAGTGTTTATTATAAAAGATCACAAAATTAAATACTGTAAAAATACTATAAAATAACGCATAGGTTCAACTAGAGAGCAAGTTGAAGAGACATTCTTGCCATGTAGTTGATTTCTTGCCAGTGTGTTTCAGAAGTAGCAATTCCATTTCAGTCTAAAGTCTGAGTAACTCCGAGTCTTTTATTCTAGTGTTTTATTACTCTCATTTTAAAAACAAACAGAATTAACAAAAGAATTCTTCTCTAGAGTTTTAGAAATTAAACAGTTTTACCTAAAAGTGTCCGGAGAATGCTATCGTATCTAGGAAAAAACGTGTACTAAAACACACAGAGAATTTAGAAATAATATTTCTTTAAGGAACAAAATAGTCAGCTGCAGAGTATCAGGGTTCTTACCCTACACTTACTATCTATACAATCTGCAGTACTATACCATCTACTGCACAACTGGTTGGAGAACTTTTTTCCTCCGTAGTATCCATAGAAACATGATTCCTCCCAGCTGCCTGGGAAACACAGCAATAAGAAATGAAGGTGAATCCTCTCTCTCAGTTTCCCTCACAGTAAAACCCTGGGCATAATTTAAGAGAGGCTGCAGATTCTGATTCTAGGTACAGTCACTGTGAGGAACTATTACTGGTAAATCAACCCTTTCTGTACTCATAATCATCAATGTCCCAAATATAGCATCAAATATAGAAGCCTTTGCAAAGCTCCTACCTTGAGCTGGATTCACTCTTTCAGTAAGCACACTTCTATTCTTATGGAGTTATCTTTACCCTCTCTTCTTCACTTAAAAATGACAAAGTAATCCTGTAGGCATATCCAGGGTATGAACTCTCTGGACTACCTAGTCTCAAAGACCTCGTGGACCTGTCGGTGGTAGTTCCAAAGCCAGTGTCCACTGTCTATCTCAACAAGCTCAAAACTTGAAGGGTTAGCAGACAATGCATCTTTAAGATTTAGACTAGGAATGACCTTTGGGTTTGAAGAAGCAAGTGGTGTAATCAGTGAATCTCTTCCAGGTCACAGTGAAGTAAAAGCCATAGGTAATTGGACTGAAACACGAGACTATGGATAAAGCTCTCTACCCTGTCCAAACGGAAGGGAGAAGACAGCAGAATACCTTCAAAACCTGTAAATGGATGTGGGGGAAATCAACTCATCACCCATACCATCAGTAGGATGAACCTGGCAGGATCCTCATGAGGAAGAAGAGAATGCAACATTCACTTTATTGCTGATATCTAGAAGGAATGGGACAGGCTTACATGTGTCTCTATGGATATTCCAGAACATTAAAATCCAAGCAAACATTCTCTGACCAACAAATCTTGGCATAAATTATGTCCAGCATTTTGAAAAGACATTTTAGAGACCTGGCCCTTGAATGATTCTTCCCACACACATAGAATGAAGTAAAGAGCAAATCATAGGAAATTAAATTAACCTTAAAGACTTAGAGTGCAAAAATATGCAGGAAAACTGTCAGAACCATCAACATGACTTAGAAACCTACACTTCTTTTGAAAATTAAATTTAAATAACCTGAACAAGAGATTTATTGAAATCTCTGGAATGCCAGTAAAATGAACCTTAGTTAGAGAGCATTTTGCTTTGAATGGGTTTTTACTTTTGCCTCAGAAGGTTTGCCAGGTTAAAAAATACCACATTCAAAGGGCCAGTAAAAAAAAAGTTAACTGAATAAACGTAGGCAAATAATTCTCAGAAATATGTAATGAGATATGCAGAGACATATCCAGAAAGACTTTCACCCCAAAACCTAACCTTCTTATGGAATAGATTGACTTCTGCAAAATTCATACATCACATGTCTTAATTTATTACTTTTTGTGTGCTCTCATGAGAGACTGTCACATCAGAAAAGATAGACAGGAACATTACCAAGAAGAAAAAGAGACCAAGAAATACAAAAGCAATAGAAAGTAAGGAACCTACAAACACAACCTAAACTCTTTGTGGAAAGAACTTCAAGTTCTTGGCTCTCTTAAACCTTGCAGGAAGGGTACTACTGAAGGAGTATCTGCCAGCAGTAGCAGCAGCTGCTGTCATTTATGCAAACTACATTCTGTCTACTCACAAAAATGACCAGTTAAGTAGCTTTGCTGAAAGCTAGCATTCATATGCTCCTTCCTGCCGCACGCGTGTGTCACTTCCCACCCTGTGCCAGATTGCTAAAACAGCTAAACTGGATTGTGAAGAGAAATACCACCATTAGAACATATAGTTTTGGAATTTTTGTATAATGCAAGAGACAGCCAATTTCTATTTGGTAACACGTTCCTAGAGTTATTAAAAAAAGAGCCTTCTGAATATTCTACTGTCCCTCTCCCCAAAACATATCATCTCAATTTTAAAAGTCTAGATCTTGACTAGTTTATTGATAATATAACTTTAAAACTATAGTAACTTTCTCCTACTTTTAAGACATTTTCACATTTTTTGGGTTATGAAGATAAGCTTCCTACCAGAAAAACAATTTTTTTCTGTTATTAAAGGACTCTGCCGAGTTTTAAAAGTCCTATGAGACGGACTTCTATCAGCCTCCAGGTAAGACGGTTCCATAGACAGATCTATCAGGAAGCTTCTGTTGCTGTTATGTTCAACTTTTTCCCCCCTTCCTTGACTGTATTGTATTTCTTTATTACATAACACTCAAATATAACACCACCCTATTTAGTTACATTTATCATTCTATTTCTATCGTTAGGTTATTGTTCAGCCCACATAGAGACCAGTTGTTTGGCTATTTAGTTGTTTTGTTTGTTTGCTTGGTTTTTTTACTGCATTTTTATTTGATGAATTTTTAGTTGATTGTCTGGCTGGCAGTTATTTTTCATCACTGGACTTTCACCAAATTTTCAGTGTTCTTCCTGATAACACCTTAGTGAATGACCCTATCCCAGCCATGTACCTCCCACAAATACAGATTTGCACTGAATATTTTTGCTACTAAACCTTTCACAATCACATTTCATTTTTATCTGCTACTGCATATGTGTGTGTACATATGTATGTATACATACATGCGTATACACACACACGTGCACTCAGTTTTTGAAAGATAGTGCTTTCACATGGGGATCCTTCCAATAACACAAGAGTAACAATAGAAATCAGATCTGAAGTCAAGGTGACTTAAAATCAATTCATAGCAATTTTGCTAAATATTGGCTCAAAATAGGATAAGGAATTTATAAAATTCACATTTGATTTTAGTTTTTCGGAAAACCTATGTTACAATATGGTACTTTAAATAACCAAGATTAAAGATGGTTGTTATTCTTCTCCAAAATCTTTTGCTTCTTAGCTCTACAGAGTTTTGGATCTTCCTAGGAGAACTCTTGTCCTAAAATCTTTTGTGCTATTAATGGTTTCATTACAATTTCATCTGCATGTTAATACAGAATAACATTGGTATCCTTGGGACAAAAATACCCAACTTCTCCACGAAATATCTTCATTACAATAATGAAGCTATTGATAAGGTTTAAAAAACCCAGCACATAAGCATTTTAAAAACCACATGTGCACTGATGAAGCTCATAACTTTTAGTAAGATTCAATTCCCCATCATAAATAAATACTCTTGATATCAGCAGTTCTAATGGAAATTTGATGGGAATAAATATAATCCACATAATACTGACATTGCCGCAGTTCTGTCAATTTAGTAAATACTTCATAAGAAAGTAACTATAGATGCAAGATCTTCATCACTGATCTAAATCGTGATGTCAGTGAGTTACGTCAGCTTCTTGAGGATCAGAGCACATGGTTATCTTGCAGTGTTTTACTAAATAATTTACCTAGAAGGTTAATATCAGGATACTTCCTCAAGTACACAATATTTGTTTTGTTTTAAATTCACCACCAAGTTGTTCTGAAAAGAAGTGATAAGTTATGCAAAGCCACACCTAGTCTAAGTAAAGCAATGTTAAAAATGAGGAAACCAATACTGAAAAGAATAAGTTTGTTTTACAAATGCTTTTACAAGTTATGCAAACTCCAGTTTTAAAGCAAGATCGTAATATGATTAATTTACCTTTGTATTTCCATTTGCTGGTTGTTTGAAAGTACTGCTGCATTATGATTTTCAGGAATGCTTGCTTGCTTTTCTTCATATTCTCTCAGTTTCTCTTTCAACATTACGATCTAGAACAAAAAAGGTAGCTTTTAGTTGGAATGTAGTTTTTTGGGTTTTTTTAAACGTATCACTCTGTGCTTATGTCTTGAAAAGCTTTACAAATGGCAGTAGGTGATATTCCTCTCAGAATACAAAACATCTATCTTACTTCAAAAGACTATATGGGAGAATACGACAATATTGCCTTATAGGTTCAATCCCATAAACATTTTTTTAATTCAAAGTTATAACAATTAATCTTTCAAACTTTTAACAATAGCTTTTCACATACCTCTTTCTTTTGTTCATTGCAAATTTTAACATACTGGCTTATGTGACTGTTCAAACTAACAACATTGCTCTTCAACTGTTAAAGAAAAGAAACAAGTCAGAATTTAAGAAGGCTCCTTCATGTTTTCCCGCATAATAAATACACTGTGTGTATTACTAGATAATTACACTTAGTATTACTAGATAATTACACTTGCACTGTATTATAAGGAAAGGGATGAATACAATCCTGACTTGCACAACAAAAATGACTCTCAGCTTTTGCGATAATTTGTTGCATGCCCACAGCCATGCCATTTCCCTCAACAAAACAATAAAAAATTATTACATTTACATGTGCAAGCACATTTTGCATGTATTCAGACTAGTTTTACTATTTAATGTATATCTTGTGCATTTTATTATAAAAAACTATCTTTAAGTATGCAACAAATGGAAACTACAGTCAACCCCATATTACATAAAAGAAATTAGGAGCTGCGATACAAAAGATTATGAAAAAAAAAAAATCAGAATAATCTGGATAATAGAAAGCAGAAGACAGGACACCCCAGTGTCCTGTAGCTTTTCATTTATCAATATAATCTCATTTTGCTGCTTGGCTCCAGCTGAATTCTACCTGTAACAAACCTGGACTGGCTCTTGCACAACTGCTCAGACAGTTCTTTAATATGCTTTACAGTTCTCTGAGAATGTAATAGTAAGATACTGAAACTGGCTGTGCATTCTACCAGCTGAAGATTATTTCAAAATTTGAGGCTCACAAAACAAACTCTTTCAAACTGGCAGCAAAATCCCATTAATGAAGCTATGTTGCTTTTAGGTCAGAACTAGTCAGCTGTACTCTCTCTGTACCTACTACATCTATCACTCAGATGATGAAGAGTTGACTGTAAGAAAGAAGAGGTAACAACAAAATTTTGAGACAAAAAATGAAGGAAATTATGATCTTCTAAAAGAAATAACTCTCCTTCTCTTAATACTATATTATTATACTCTGACAAAACATCAAGAAATACCAACATACTCACAGAAGACTTGATATCCTTTGCTCGGTTCGCATACTTGAGAGTATTATATGTATCATCATAGAACATAGAAGATGGACTAACAGCAGCTATCATTATTGTTCGGCAATTTCCTCCAAGAGAATCTTTCAATAAACGAGTAAGCTTGCTGTTTCGATAAGGGATGTGCTGTTTCTTGCTCTAGAAAAAGAGTTATATGCATGTTTATGGATTAGTCAACTGTACTTTAAATATTCACCTGCCTAAAAGTCTGCTTAGGACTTCAACAATGCCACGAAACACAACAGCCAGCCTTGGAACTTTTCTTTGACATAAGTAATTTTCCTCGAAATTACATATACATCTCAAACAGTTTTAAAACTCTTGGAACTGTTTAATATCTTTATAACACATGTATTAGCCAGGTTACTTTCTGATGTCTGGACACGTAACAACTATTTTTGTTATGTGGGCAACTAGCAGAAAAGGTAGACTACATTAAATTACTTTCAGTTCACAGAATAATTGAGGTTGGGAAGGACCTCTCAAGATCCATCTAGTCCAATCCCTCTGCTCAATGCAGGGTCAGCTAGCACAAGCTGCCGAGGACTATACCCAGTTGGGTTTTCAACATCTCCAAGGACGGAGACTCCACAACCTTTCCAGGCAACCCAAAGTCTGCTTCATGAAGCTTTTTTTCAATTACATCTACAGAATCTTCATCACACAGTACAAATTTAGGTCACTAGGGCCCCAATTTCACACCAAATAAGTCAACACGAAGAATCTTACTTATGTCAATGGTACGGATTCTAAATTCTGCCTCCCACTCCAACATGATGGTGATAAGAATGTGTGGCACCAGGAAGGGAATGAAAATCTCTGATCATTTTCCCCTGGCATTTTTAAAGGGGGAAATTGCTAGCTGACCAGAAGGACAAAAAGGGTGTAGCTGTAGGCAACGGACTTGGCTTTGGCAAAAGTTTAGGAGGTTTTGTCATTCTCCCATGTAACTGTCCCCACTCCTTCCCTTGAGCTGGTGAGCCTGATCAGGAGACTAATTTACAGCAGGGTATGGGTGTGGAACAGCACAAAAGAACAACTTTGGATAGGTGTTGTTTTCTCCTATAAAAGCCTCCTCCCCTAAGATTAAAGGGCATAAACCTCTGGAAAAATCTTTGTCCTTGTCAGGCTATTTATTTATTCATGCAAGCTTCTCTACATATGCTCGATTTTGAAAAAGGTGGGTAAGAAAATCAGGTACATTCATCTTTGACACCATCCTTAGGTAGCTGCAAACTATTTTTGAGAA